GGGGGGGGGGGAGGAGTTGGTTCTTTCTTTAGTGGCTGACTTTTAGTAATATGCATCATCAATTGGAGTGGGGCCTCTCTACATGTTGGGTCATCACAATAATTTGATATTCTTTGTTTGTACTATTTCTCGGAAGTTCTTTGTCTTTCAATGGTCTAAGGCATTGAGATAAAGTAGAATCACTCCTTTAGCCTAATTTTGAATTGTCACGCCATTTCTGACTGGCTTTTACGATGATTGGTTCAAAGCCATGAATAATACGAAGATTTGGTCTGTCTAGTAATTGTTTACTGTATTACTATTAGCACGTTTCCAAAAAACAAAAAAAAGATGTTCCTTTAATTTATTTTGGTAACAAGACTGCTAAAAATGTTGCAATGTATTTGGCAACATTTTATGTCATCTGTATGATAAATAATTACACTCACCTGTATTTACACCAAATTAACCAGTTTACTATAAGAATTAACCGCCTAATTATAATTAAATGATAAATAACTTATATATAGGACAAATTATGCATTGATCTGATTGGTATGAACACCGTTTGCGAGTAAATTTTTATTCATTGACTTATCCGATACACGTATCAAATTATATTTATTTTGGCATAATGAAATAATAAATTGATATAAAAATAAATATTAATTCATATACCATGATTAAATGATAAATCTCATGTAAAAGGCACTTATTTTCCCTGAACTCATGGTTTAAAGGCGCCTGTCATTCTTATCCAAATAGGGTATCCTTTTGTATAGGAGGATTATATTACCAACAAGTTTGTTCTAAAGTTTTTTTCCATTTTCTACAATATTTTGAGAGTTTAAGTTTATCCAACATTTGTGTAAAAACTATTTTTGTGACGATTCAAATCCTAATCTGTCGTGATGACGCCTATCGTGGTACTAGGCAAACCGACATTTCCAAAATACTTCCAACACTTAACAGAAAATGAATCAAGTAATTTAAATAACCAAAGTTTTCATAGAAACGGGGTAAAATTCCAAAACACAGATGCAGAAAATAGCTCTATCGGGGTGTTACTGAGCTTATGAGCATCTATACATTACCAGTCTAGAAAAGAAAGGTCTACAAAAGTCTGGATCAAAATTACAAACAAAGAAAATTATAAGGAAGGAGAAACAAGGACTGCGAACGCCGGACAACTACCTCGTAATCTTCGAAGATCGTCCGTGCACGATATCAACGCTCACTGTATCTAGAAATACCTGGATTTGCACACGAAGTGCAAGGTGTAGCGTAAGTACAACCAACTCATTAAGTAAGAATAATAAATAATGAACTGAAAGATAGTGACGAGCTACATAGTTATAGTTCATTTTCAGTAGTATCAACAAGAAAGTAGACCTGCTTTCAGATCCGGCAATTTAAATCAAATCAGTTTATTCATGCCAAGTTAAAGTAAAAATCGGATATAATATCTCCTAGAAGTTTCAAAACAGTACATGTAGCATCTATGTGCAACAACGATGAAAGCAATTACAGCCTCTCAAGGCAATAGTCACTCAGTCTTTCTCAATAGCTTATCACTCGGCTCTCAGCCCTCAACACTCACACTCAATAGGTACATGCGCTCACTGGGGGTGTACAGACTTCGGAGGGGCTCCTTCAGCCCAAGCGCTATATCACTGTGGCGTGCAGCCCAATCCTATAACATATAAATAGCCATGAGGATCATTACAGCATGCAACTCGATCCATATATATATACAGCCTTAAAGCTCATTGCGGCGTGCAACCCAATCCATATACATACAACCCTTAGGCTCATTGTCGCGTGCAACTCGATCCATACACACACACACACACACACACACACACATATAGCTCACAACTCGGCACTCAGTCCCTAACTCAGTCACAAACCTCTCCAGTCTCTCAGGCTTTCAGAAGTCATAAAAATCAACCCAAACAGAGATAATATAATGTATCAACAAGAAACAAAACTGAGATATGATACATAAGTAAAATTGTGACTGAGTACAAGACGACAATTAGCAAAAAATTCAAAAAGTACACGACCTCTGCGGGTCCCAACAGTATCAACACATAGCCTAAACATGATTTCTAACATGATTAGCAGTCAAATTTCTATAACACAGGGAGAACATATGGCTAACAATAATTTATTCAACTTTACAGTTCCAAAGAATGGACCAAGTCTTCCTACAGTGCACACCCACACACACGTCACCTAGCATGTGTGTCACCTTCAAACAAATCATATAACGCATAATCCGGGGTTTCATACTCTTAGAACCAGATTTAGAACTATTACTTACCTCAATCCGAGCAAAACTTTACTCCAATATGCCTTTGCCTCACGAATCGACCTCCAAATGTCCCGAATCTAGCCACAAGCAGTACAATACAATCAATACGAGCTAAAGGAATCAATTTCACAAGAAAAATACGAAATCATAAGACAAAATCCGAAATTGGCCAAAAGACGGCCCTCGAGTCCTGTCACGACCCAAATATCCCTCCGAAGGAGTCGTGATGACACCTAGTCTCTAAACTAGGCAAGCCTAACATAAACTGAAATAACATTGATACTTACTAACTTTAAATTAACCAACTCTGAATAAATCAAAATTTCCAAAACCGGTGGTACAAGTCATAAGCCTTTCTAAGAGTAATTATACAAAGTAAATACAACACTGATCCAGAACGAGAAGGAATCAATGAAACGTAAATACAAACGAAGGTGACTCCAAGACCTACAAACGCAGCAGCAGGTTACCGTGAGCCTCCACTGCGATGACCCGCACAACTACTATCGATCAACACCTGGATCTGTACACAAAAAAATGTACAGAAGTGTAGTATGAGCACACCACGGCGGTGCCTAGTAAGTATCAAGACTAACCTCGGTGGGGTAATGATGAGGAACAGTCAAGACACTTATTGGTCAAATGAAATGAACAGGATATGATAATAAAATATCGAGATATAGTTAACGAGGTAATACCAATAGCGGAGAGAAATCAAAATATAAATAGTAGAAACAATAAGGGAGAATACGGGTAGTAACGAACGATAACCAAGTAAATCAGATAATCAAGTAAACCAGATAACCAAGTAAATCAGATAACCAAGTGAATCAGATAACCAGGTAAATCAACACTGACATAACAAGAATAGAGACAAGTAAGAATGTATCCAAATAAAGAAAGCAATGTCAACTAAATCAATCACATCATGCCTAGTACACAATCCCGACCGTCTCAACATTTGATTCCTCATATCATAATCTCAACTTCCGAACCTTCAGCACACACAGCACCTTGAGCCCCCATATTTCATTTCTCTTTTCACTTTTAACAACAAAATCCTCATACCATACAATACATAACGTTCGTACAATAAATCCAATATGTCCAAGAAGTCTCATTTAC